GTTTTTTTTTCTTTTAATTTTACTGGAGCCCACAAATGAGGGATTTTGAATTTTAAAAGATACTGGATTTTAAAGGAAACTAGTGATTTTAAAGAGACTAAATTATTTTTGAGCTAAGGGTTTTTTTCTATTAATTATTTACTTTGCATTCCGATATCAGCTTCCCCTTCCAGGTCTCTTCCCAGTCCCTCACTCTCCCCCTCCCCTCCCCATGTGCACCTGCCCCTTTCTCCTCAGAAAAAGAGAGGTCTCCTATGGATATCAACATGCCTGGGCATATCAAGTTGCAGTAAGACTAGGTGCATCTTCTCCTACTGAGGCTTGACAGGATAGCCCTTTTAGGGAAAAGGAATCCAAAGGCAGACAATAGAGTCAAGAGACAGGGACTGAAATTTTAACGTGTTTGATTTTGTAAAGGATGTGGGATTTTTAAAGTTATTTATGTTTTTAATGTAAGATCATAGGGATCAATAAGAAAGAGCTGTGGCCTAATAGTGATGTGTTTGTGTTGACAAGGGGTCAATTGTACTGGCTGCTTTTGTATTAATTTGACACAAGCTAGAGTCATCAGAAAGAAAGGAACCTCAGTTGAGGGAGTGCCTTCTTAAGATCCAGCTGTAGGACATTTTCTCAATTAGTGATCAATGGGAGAGCACCCACAACACTGTGGGTGGTGTCATCCCTGGGCTGGCGATCCTGGGTTCTCTATGAAAGCAGGCTGGACAAGCCAGGGGAAGAAACTCAGTAAGGGGCACCCACCCATGACCTCTGCATCAGCTCTTACTTCCAGGTTTCTGCCTTGCTTGTCCTGGTTTCCTTTGGTGATGAACAGCAATAGCAATATGGAAATGTAAGCCAAATAAACTCTTTCCTCTCCAACTTGCTTTCTGATCATGGTGCTACATCACAGCAATAGAAACCCTAAGACATTTTTCTATGAAGAAAACAAAAAAAAATGAGGATGCTGCAAGTGCTGTGGAGAAAGACAAGCTGGACGTTTTTCATGTGCAGCTGAATGCTAGAGGTCAATGCCTCTGAGAACCATATGGGCAGTGGGCCAAGGATGCTCTATCATTAGAGAATACTCAATTAAGTCTGCCTGAGCTAGCAAGCCATCTATGAGGCTTGAGTGAAAACACTCGTCTGCCTCTCCCTACCGTCTTTAGAAGAAAATTTCAAAGTGGCTATCATCTTTACAGCCATCTTGAGCCATATACCCTTACAAGAGACTTGTTTCAACAGCCTGCAATAGCTGAGCGCACTCTGATAAACATCTTGTTACACTGTTTAATGCCCCCAGCTGCAAGGTGCTCCTGGTATCCATGGCTACAAGGCATGTGACGTAGTGGCTTCAGTTGAGCTTGTCCACGAGGGCAAGTCACGTGGTAAAGGGTATAAATACCCAGGATTTCCCTTCTATTGAGGAGGCAGGAGGTAGAAGGTAGGAGGTAGATGGAAGTAGGAAGTAGGAAGTAGGAGGTAGAAGGTAGAAGGTGGAAGGAGTGAGAAAGTGAGAGGTGTCAGGAGACTGAAGAAAGTAGGAGAATATATATAGAAGAGAGGAGAATAAAGAAGAGACTTGAAGAGACTCCACCGGACTCTGTCTTGTATCTATCTTTTGCGTCTCTCGCCCCTTTTTCCCCCTTCCTCCGTCCCCACTCTCTCTCTTGCTAGACCCTGACCTGCGGATCGGAGCAGCAGAACCGGCCGACCTTTACAAAGTAGCAGAACCTGACGGCCGTTACAAAAGAAACGACAGTTACACTAAGGTCAAGATTATCTTTAAATCCATTAAAATGGTTAGAATCTGAAACAGAAAATTGTCTTTGGCCCAAATCTAGAAACAGATGCAAAATACCTTCATAAATAAGTTACAAAAAATTGATAAAATGTATCAAGTAAGATTAGTAAATAGAAAGATGACCCATCTATCTAGACACAAAGAGTCACCATTTTTAAGATAGCAGTTTCTCCAGCTGGATCTATAGATTCAGTGTCACCTCAATGAAGATGTTAGCAACTTACTTTGGGAACATTAGCAAACTGATTCTAAAGTTAGCCTATTTTTAAGGCTTACTACAAAGTGATAGTAATGAACACAATGTGGAACTAGAGAAAAAAATAAAAGAATGTATCCACTAACCAAAAACAGAAGAAACAAAGGAAGTATTTGCATTGGGAAAGGATAATCTTTTAAGAAATGCTGAGGGGAGTAAAAGACCACAGGCCTCAGTACTAGACAAAGACTTACAGGTAGTTAATGAATACCAAGAACAGGAAAAATAGTTTTCATCAGGAAAGAGCAAGCCATCTGGTAGCAAATGGTCAGCGATGAAAACATATACACAAGTAACATATAAACTTAGCAGGTATGTGTGTATGTGTGTGTGTGTGTGTGTATTTACATATATGACATATATTACATATATATTATATATGACATATATTACATATATAATATATAACATATATATATTAAATGCTTATATACATAAGCATTTAAAAGTTCATGAATTTGAAAGAAATGGGGGTTTGGAGAGATGACAGGGAAGGAGATATGTTATAATTATTACCTCAAATTTTTTAAAAAATATTTTTTGAAAAAAAATAAGGCTGAGCAAGCCATGAGGGGCAAGTCAGTAAGCAGAATTCTTGTGTGGCTTCTGGATCAGCTCTTGCCTTGAGTTGCTCACCTGGTTTAAGTTCCTACCTTAGTTATGGTAGCCAAACAAACCTTTTCCTTGCTATTGCCCCAAACAAATTTGCTGAACAAGGTAAGATAAAAGGTAATTTAAAAGAAACAAATAGTAAAAAGTCATACTATCATTATTTGCAGATGATATGCTATTTATTACACATTAGATATGTCAGAAATTCTACCAGAAAACTCCTAGAAATGATGAACAAATTCAGCAAGATGGCAGAATAGGGAATCAGCTTGCACAATACCTTTTCTACGCACCACCAATAAACATATAGAGAATGAGATCATGGAACGAAATCCCAATCAGAAGAGCCTCAAAGAAAATAAACTATCTAAAAATAAACCTAACCAAAGAGGTCAAGTACTTGTATAATAAAAACTTTACACATGCAAAGAAAGAGATAAAGATACTAAAAAATGGAAAAACACCCTATACTCATAGTTAGGTAGAATTAATATTATAAAAATGACAATTTTACCAAAAGCTACTTACAGATGCAGTGCAATCTCAATCAAAATTCCCATCTCATTTGTCACAGAAATAGAAAAGCCATCCTGAAATTAATATAGAACCACAAAGGACCCTGGGTAGTCAAAAGAACAATGTTGGAGAGATTATTATTCCAGATCTCAAAACATATCATAGTAATAAAAGCACAAAAACAAACACGGGGGACCAATGGAACAAAACTGAAGACCCAAACATGAGCACACATAACTTCAGTAATTCATTATTTGACAAAGGTGACAAAAACATATACTGAAAAAAGTAAAAGAAAATATCTTCAACAAATGATTCTGGAAAAACTGGAATTCCATTTAAAGAAGAATGAAATTAGGCCTGGATTTATCACCTTGCCTAAAAACTACCTGCAAATGGCTCAAGCACTTAAATGTGAAAGCTGAAATGCTGAAACTCCTAGAAGGAAATACAAGCAGTACTTATACCATATAGGTTCAGGAAAGGACTTTCTCAATAGGACTCTATTTGCCCAAGAATTAAGGTCAACAATTGACAAGTGGGACTTACTAGCAATAAAAAGCTCCTGCGTGGCTAAAGAAACAATCATCTAAATAAAGAGGAAGCCTATGAAAGTGACTGGAGAAAATCTTTGCCACTTATATATCTAACCAAGACCTAACATCAAGAGTATATTAAGAAATAAAAAAATAAAAAGGTCAAAACCACAAATGATCCATTCAAGAATACTGACTGGTATCTGAGCAGACAGTTCTCTAACAAAATAAAAATGGCTACAAAATATCTCAAAAGATATTCATCATCCCCAACAACTGGAGACATACAAATGAAAACAACTTTAATAATTCATCTTACCGCAGTCAGAACAGTAAAGATCAACAAAACAACCAACAACAAATGCCGAGTGGGTGTGGAGAAAAGGGGACTAGATACCCACATGGTAAAAAATTAAAGATCTTGAATCCTTCAAAAATCACAGACCCAAATGTACCAAACTCATAAGAGATATCAGAATAAGTAAAGTTGGGTGATCTTATAGTTCATGATGACATTTTAGAAATGTTTATGAGCACTAATTGCCCTTCTAAAGGACCCAGGTTCAATTCCCAGCATACACACATGGTGAGTTACAACCAATATGTAAGTTCAGTTCCAAGGGATCCCTCTTCTGGCCTCTGTAGGTTATCTGACATGCATATGAGACACAAACATATATACAAGCAAAACAGTCACATCCCAAAAAAAATACAAAAATTAAAAGAAAATGATGAATTGAGTGAGAATTAATAAAATTTTAGTTCTGTTCTGAAAAAGACACTTATTATGGTTAGTCTATTTGATTGAATCTGGGATCCAGTAAGATACCCCAGGAATGTGGGTGACAGTACTTCATGAAAGGATAAACTGAACAGAGGAAGACCATCCCCCAAAGTGGTGATCCAGATACAAAGAGCTCTGAAGGAAAAGTAGTGGTGTGATTTGTCTGATCACCTTTCACTGCCTGCTGGAAAACAGCTCTACCCTATATGGCAACTGTGACTGCCACCCCTTAGTGATATTAGAACCCAGCTTCTTAGCCTTCTAACACGGACTAAAAACCAGAGATGCTTCAGAAATCCTTCAGTGCTATATTGGGATTTCTGAGGCATCTGGCCTTATTGATTGAGCAGCTACTAGGTTCCCAGCCTCTCCAATGTGCATTGTTGAACTAGGCATCCATATAGAGTAAGTTAATCTAATACATTCCCTTTCAATATATACTCGTCCAAACGATTCTGTTGCTTTACAGAACCCCTTACCAATACAGTGACCTACCATCATCATCCTCTCGTTTTCTACTTCATTGAGCAATTCAGCAAATTCCTTGAATGATTCCGCTGGTAAGAGAAGAAAAGATCAAAGGAAATTAGTAATGGTACTGTTGTCCCATGAAACGTTCAAAACCTCAAAACGTTCGTGTCCTACGAACCTCAAAAGTTCACTAAGGAGCCGAATCCGATGCAATTGCATTAGGGTCTCTATTCAAGCTCAAGCTTGGGCCACATCACTGTCTCTAACACAGGAGAATGGGAGGGGGCCCTAAGCCCAGTTTTAGGCAAGCATTTATAGAGGCAAGAAGGGTTATCTTGCATGGTACACATCTGATTGGGGGGAGCCATTCTGGCCTTTATTATAAGTGACTGGTGCTGGGAGCCAAACCATAAACTGAACTTCTGCTTTTTTCCTGATTGGCAGTTGTTAGGAAGTGAAGTGTCAGGGGCAGTCTTTTAACCTGGAGGTACAGATTTGTAGGGGAATAACCTGGAAACTGGTGTTAGATGCAGGTCTTGTTGGGGGGTAACCTGGAAACTGGTTCTAGGGATCAGCCTGTTAGTTAACTTGAGTTCAACCTTACATCAGTTTCTCTAATATGAAGTTTGAACCCAAAAGATTTGGTGTCTCAGTACATATTGATGAGTAGGCAAAGATCTTTGTAAGGGGACATAGGAACCAGTACCTTAGTTTCAGAGAATTGCGAGATAATGACATCAGATCTACAGGACACAAGATGACAGGTTCAGGACCTATTGAATATTGCTCTTCTTTGCCTTTGTCTTTTTTTGCTAACTCCCAACTAGAGAGAGTTATTTCACAGACAATATTGTATTTAAACCTCATAATCATACTTAGAACTATCAGGGGCTTCTCTCCTGGTATGAACAAACAAAACTGTGTTAGGGTCATAAGCTCAACGTGACCCTTGGCTACAGAGTAAGAACAAGGCCAACCTGGGCTAGAGGGTATCCATGTGTCTCAGAAAACAAGTTATAAAAGTTCCTTTCTTCTATCTTAACCCTAAACCTATCTCCTTGCATTATGTTTTTAAGTATTTCTACTGATATAGATTTTACAGTGTCACAGATGAGCAATGAACATACATATTAAAATAAATTAGATGGGGTATTAAATGATTTTAGCTTAGTGAACACTATAAAGGAAGAGAAGACAAATTTTAGAGAGAAGTAAGCCTGGACTGGAAGTTTTGTTCTATCATTTGCTTCCTCAGCAACTTTGTGTAAATGACTTGACATCTCTAAGCTTCAGCTGCCTTACTTATCAACAGTCATGATCATCTATGTAAGTGTCTAGTTCTTTATAACAACCAAATTATGCTGCAAATGTGGACTATGTACATGAAGTAGCTAATACTATCATTCCCCCCTTCTAGAGCCAATTCTGCCACTTACTGGCAAGGTGACAGCAATTCACTTCTCCACCCTGGGTTTCATTTTTTTTTCGCGCACTCAAGATAAATAGATTTTATTGTGTCTTCAAATTCCCCAACTTCCCACCACAAGCAGCAAAAAATATTCTCAAATGGAATCTCAATTGTAGAAAACATGGAATCCTGGGCAAACAAATGTGTCCAGATATTTGTTTGTTTGATTGGTTGGTTGGTTTCAAGATGTGTAGCTGGTCTTTCTAAGGCTCCCGAGTGCTAGGACTACAAGCCTGCAATAACATATCCAGTCCCTAAATTAATGCTTTTTAAGAAAAAGACTTCTGATAGATTCCTTCTTTAATCTATTAATTATTTTGGAATGTGCTATTTAATTCCCACAAATTTGTACATTTCAAAACTTGCTGTTATTAGTTGCTAATCAACTAGGGTCAGGAGACACTTTTTTACTGTTTGCATTTATTGATGCCTATTTTTTGATTTAACAAAGGATCACTTAAATATTCTACACACACTTGAAAGGAGAATCCTCTACACTTCTTAGGTGAGGGACAGAAGAGGACATGGATCCCCTAGATTAGAACAGGTGTTGCAGACCATTGTAAGACACCATGTGGCCAATAGTAATGGAACCTGGGACCTCTAGAAGAACAGCAAGTGCTCTTAATCACTGAGCCATCTGCCAAGCCCTAAGTTCATTTTTTTTTTTACTTTCCACCACTCCCACTATTTTCTAATTGTATTTCACACAATCAAACAAATGTGGTGGTTTGAATAGGAATGACACCCATAGACTCATGTGTGTGAATGGTTGGCCCATAGGGAGTGGCCCTATTAGGATATATGGCCTTAATGGAGTAGTTGTGGTCTTGTTGGAGGGAGTATGTCACTATGAAGGTGGGCTTTGAGGTCTCACATATACACTCAAGCTCCACCCAGTGTGGAATCCAGTCTTCCCCTGGCTGCCTTTGGATCAAGATGTAGAACTCTGAGCTCCTTCTCCAGCACCATGTCTGAATGAATGCTGCCATGCTTTCCACTATGAAGATAATGGCTAAACCTCTGAACCTGTAAGCCAGCCCCAATTAAATGTTTTCCTTTATAAGAGTTGCCTTGGTCATGGTGTCTGTTCACAGCAGCAAAACCCTTTAATCCGTAATATAGTAACTGCTCCAAGTCTTCAAATGGGTGCCTTCAATTATTTTCCTTTCTTTACTCCTTGGATTTGTTGATCTTTTCTATTCAATGTACAAGTCAAATATTCAGCCACTGTGGTGAATTTAATTCATTGTACTTTTAAAATGTAAATATTTAGCTGTTTCCGTCTAAAAAAATATTTTCAGTCTTTATATTGATGTTCTTTGTGAGAAATAGTTCTCATTCAATTTTTTTCACATGGTTTCGTTTAATTAAATGTATTTAAAATAGTCAATTAAAAGTATTTGTCAAAGAAATCGATATCTGAGATCCTCAGGAACAGTTTCTTATAATCACATTTACTTCCTGTGGTAGTGGATTACTTTTTGCAATTTCACTCCATATATATTTTTTATGAAAAATATTTTAAGTAATGTATTGTGACAATTATAAAAAGCAGATTCCCAATCCTTTCCTAGGTTTGCTGCTCTTATTAGGCTCTTTATTCAATGGCTTCATAAAGACTGTAGTCTGTCATATTAGGTCACTAAAATCTCTATCCAAGAAAGAAAATTCATTCTCCATTTCCTTTTCAATACTAGGGATTAAATTTAAAGTTTCATGTGTGCTAGGCAAATGATACACCTTAGTTGAGCTACGCCCCCAAACCTCATTTGGCTTTAAGAAAAGCATGGACTACACTAAGTAGGCCAAGCTGAATTTTAACTCACTGTATAGACCAGACAGGTCTTGAACATATAATCTGACTAAGCAGCTTCCAGAACCAGAGAAGAGATTCCTTTAAACAGTCTAAACCAATAAATGCCTGTGACTGTGCCTGTGCTGGCTAGTCTTATGTCAATTTGATACATAGAGTTATATGAAAGGAGGAAACGTCAAGTAAAAAAGCCCCTATAAGATCCAGCTGTAGAGCATTTTCTTTAAAGAACATTTCTGTAAAGCACATTAGCAACTGATGAAGGAAAGCCCAGCCCATTGTGGGTGGAACCATCCCTGGGCTGGTGGTCCTGGCTTCTAGAAGAAAGCAAACTGAGCAAGCCATGGAGGGCAAGTCAGTAAGCAGCTCCTCTCCGTGGTCTACATCAGCTTCTGCCTCCAAGGTCCTGTCTTGTTTGAATTCCTGTCATGACTTCCTTCAATGAGGAACTGAAATGTGGAAGCATAAGCTAAATAAACCTTTTCCTCTCCACTTTGCTTTTTGGTCATGGAGTTTCATCACAGCAATAGAAAGTTGGTACCAGGGACTAGGGTACTGCTGTGATTGGCCTGACCACAAGGAAGAATATGGAACACTTTGGGGCTCTAGACTAGAATAGCAATTGGACACTTTAAGCAGAGTTAAATGGGCCATTTTAGAAGGATGCATGGAAGAGAGTGGTGCTGAGAATGGCTTGAACTATGGGGGTCCAGCTCAAAGGGGTTCAGAGGAGATTGTTGTTGTGATATTTTCATAAAACATAAAAAAAGTGGCTGTTTTCTGCCCTTGTTGAAAATATCTGCCTGAAGATAACTTGAAGAGATCTTGATAAACAGCTTTGGCAGAGGAGATTTCTAGACAGCCTAGTATTTACTGTGATGCTTGGTTATTAGTAGCCATGCTTATGAAAATCTAAAATTAAAAGAAGCAAGCTAAGCAAGGAAAAATACTAAAAGTACAGTTTGAGGAGAAAGGGAGCACCAGGAAATGTAAACAGATTAAATAAAAGACTGATGCTAAATGAAATAAAGGGAGTGCTGACCTCAGAGCAAGACCTCACCCAGCTAAGCTTCCAATTTATGAAAAGGAAGTAGACAGGAGTTAAGGAACTGCATAATGGTGGGTGTGGTGGTGCGTCTTTAATCCCAGCACTCCAGAAGCAGAGGCAGGCAGATCTCAGAGTTCAAGGCCAACCTGGTCTACAGAGCAAGTTCCAGAACAGTCAAGATTAGGCAGAAAAGGAAGCCATGGAAAACAGTAAGCTGGTAGAAACATATTTGAACAAGGGGTCCATGTTCTAGCCCCAGAAAGCAGCACTACTTGGCAACTATGACCACATGGTTCTGGCTTTAGAGTCAAGGATACAAGAAAGGCATCATGGGATCTCCCTCCTCAACTAAGAAAAGCCACTGTTTTAAAGGTATAAAGTGGAAACTTAACGGTTCTTTGGAAAGTCTGTTGAATGGTGTTTTGCTGGGGCAAACACATGAGGGAACGTTTTTTGTTAAAGTAGACACAGGTGTGAAAGACAAAGGCCGACTCATGAAGGAATGTTTCTCTGAAGCAGACACAGGAGAAAGGATGTTCTGTTAAAGCAAGCACGTGAAAGGGCACGTGATGAAGGAGTCTTTGTTAACAACATGCATGTGCTGGTCCACCTTACATTGTGTAGTTGAGCTACATTTGTTGGGGCTCCATAGAGAGAAATGCACCAAAACACTTCTGGTGGTGTGCTGCAGTTTCTTGTGGCTTCCAAGGACTCAGGCTGATTCAATGCACGTGCTGAGGCAAGGCATGTGGAG